TAGACTGCAACAACAAAATGCAGCATCTGCCTCACATCAAGTTCCTCCTCCACCAGGGGTCCCATTACCCGAGCAGGCACCTATTGTCCAGAATGCCCTGCCAAACACCCAGAATACCTTACCCAATGTCCAGAACATCCAAGAGGACACAGACCTTCCAACGGGGCCAGCTCCACCCTCGCTTCCGCCTCAACTGTCCAAGACCCACACACCCAACCACCCGGACTCTCCCTTCGAGTTCGAAATAGACCATACAGCTCTGAAACTGAGCAAGCTCGAGAAGCTTTTCAAGAAATCACAAGGAGTAAAGGCTATTCCGGATATCGAGGACGGATATACTGATGTGGCCGTAACATTGCCAGATAGATTCAAGATGCCGCAGATTGATCGTTTCGACGGATCCGGGGATCCCATGGTCCACCTCCGGTTATTCTCAGATATATTGCGGCCAATGGGCCTAACCCGACCACAAAAGCTTTCACTATTCGGCCGAGCCCTGTCGGGTGTGGCCGCTATCTGGTACGCGAAGTTGGAAGATGAGGTAAAAAGAAGTTGGGATGAAATGGCCGAGGCCTTCATCGCACAGTACTCGTACAATACCCAGATCGAGATTACAACTCGTGATCTCGAAACAACGAGGCAGGAGCCCAAAGAGACTTTCTCAGATTTCGTAACTCGGTGGAGGGCGAAGGCATCGATGATGACTTTGAGGCCCACTGATAAGGACCAAATCAGGATGATTGTGCGCAACCTCCAACCAAAATTGATGCAGAAGATGATTAATAAAAAGAATGACATGAGGGTATTTTAGCTTCAAGAGATAATTGCATAGTCTAGCAAATAATTTCACCTCTAATGTTATAGTATGGTCAGACACATCAACAGCTTTGCCCCGGAAAATACTGGCAGTATCAAGAACATCCCTCCTAGCAGCAGCATTCACAGCAACCTTAATCAACATCAGCTCACGCTCCGCAAATGGCAAGTGGGTAATATCTGAAACCTGAACAAACCATCAGCATTCTCATTGTCAGCAATTTGCCCTCTCAAGTTACACATTCGTAAACATAAAAGTTAGTCATATGGCCTAAGTCAAGTCCCTCGAATCAAATGATGTAGTTACATGTCAGTGGAACTTTTGTATAGTTCCATGAAACAAGAGCTCATGGTGATGGATTATGGTGGGGTGCATTTATTAGTTTGTAAAAAAAAATAAAAATGACTTGTGTTTTGATTCAGACTCTTATACGGGACTCATGTATACTTTCCTTTCCGATTTGCTGATGGTTAGTGTGAGATGGAAATGTGATTATTCAATTGTCAACATTGTTACACAACAAATTGTATTTGTATGTGTATATTAACTTCTCACCGTATCTCGTCGCAATGGTGCCATGGGTTCATTCAAATGATTAAATACTTGGTTAAATGTATTCTTACTAGGCATATAGCTCAACCATATTTAAATTTTCAGGACATGATAATGTACTACTTATAGTATGCAAACACTTGGTTTGGGTGGATAGCTCGAGAATATTTTGCTGTCAAGACTTAGAGTTTTGTACCAAGACTTGTACATTTATTTTGTGGTGTCTTATATGCCCATGGGGGATTTCCTCTTTTGTTTTGGTCATCTAGTTCATTGAACTTAGACAGGAAATCTAATGTATCTTGGAAATATAACTTTGAAATTGTAATTTCCTAAATCTTAGTTCAATAAGAAAGATGATGTTTGGTCTCTTGCTATGCTTGTGTGATGTAATGGCAAGGCGCCACAAATTGGTATCAGAGTGCTAGGTTTGAATTCCTTAGGCTCGTGGGAAGTGACATTTGTCACAATGGGTTCCCTAGGCTAAGATGGTACGCTTATATGCCTTGTGTGTTTTGTGTGATTATGTGGTTATATAAGTATGGAGTTAAACTTCTCTGATACAGCTTTTATCCGTTGCATTCATCGAGATCCTTTTAGAAAGGCACTTGATCAATGCTCTTTCCATCTAGAGGTCCTTGATTGCTATGGAAGTAGCTAGTATCCTAGGAGGGCGACTCGTATATGCTTTATATGGTTGTGAGCTTATGTGGATTACCTTACATGACTATAACTACGTGTTTAGATCGTGCGTATGGTATGACGATCTTGAATGGGGCACATAGGTGTGAAATGTTGGTCTTGAACATAATGTTGTCTCTCTTTCTTATAAGATGTTTGGGCATGTTAGAGGCTGCGGTAGACCTAGTCGGGGAGTCCAGAATGTTCCGGCCTAACCTGAGATCCCTTCGCAAGAAGAATGAGTGGGTGAAAACACTATACCCGCCATACCGGCCCAAGATACAATTGTGGTCTTGGCCAGATAGATGGCAGGGGCTCTTTGGAAGTCCCGGGAGATATTGAAAGTCGAGCAAGCGGCTAGGATAGTTGAAGGGAAACTAGAGCTTCCTTTTTGAAAAATGAGTTCTTTCATTCAAACCCTGCCAAGTTCAGTAGTGGGCCCGACCTGATGAAGGCAAACAAATTGTTAGAACAAATTGTTAAATCTTTCAAGATTTTGGACATCCAAGAGAATGAATTATGGGGAGCATTAGCGGCTTACCAGTTGAATTGAGAGGCTGGACAATGGTGGAAGTATGTCAAGAATTGAGTTAACCACACATGGGAGGCATTTGTGCACGCTTTCTAAGAAAAGTTTCTCTCTCCCACTGCTAGGGAGAGACTAAGTAAACAGTTTGAAGAGCTGTTACAACTCAATACACCGGTGGCGGAGTTTGAAGCCACATTCACTAGTCTCTCTCGCTTTGCGCCCAAGTGTAGCTCGGCTTTTTCGCACCCCCTTTCAGAAGCTCGGAAGAAAGCCCTACAATTCAGACTCATACGGTTCTGAATCTAATCTCACAAGTGTAATGTGAAATTGATAAACACCAAAGAGTCCAAATCCGACAAATCTTTTGAAAAATTGATTTTGAATCAAAAATGCCAAAATTGGACTACTTTGCCAGATATAGAGTTGCCACCTAAATATATTTATTTTGGGAAAATTTAGGAAACCCATGACTCGTGCCAAAGGCCACGTGTCTGTTATCACCAAAAGTGTCTCAGCTCGGGAACTTAGGTACGAGAGGGAAGGTCATGAATTGAGCACCCCCGCTCGCCCGATCAAAGATCGGCCTCTACTAATCATGATATGATTTTTATATACATTATATGCTCTTGTTCCAGTTATTTAAGCTAGCATTACTATGTGACTCGTACAAGCAAGTATAGACTAGTTTGCCCGAATTGGAACAACTCAATTTCATGTTTGTTTTGTGAAAAAGGATTTGATTTTTCCACCTCAAGTGGACTTAAAGTTTGCAAATTTCCCACTCAACAAAGTGAGCTTAAAGTTGTGGTTTTGCCACTAGACATAGTGGGCTTAAACGTACATTTATTGAATTATTCTAATTCAAACAACAAGACTTCATCCACAGGCATTCAAGCAGTTTAACAAGTAAGCACTTAGCCTCATGGCAATCACTCACACTCATGCAAGTATACTAAAGCATAAAAAACTCACTTAGTACTCCAAGCCAAAGTAAACAAAAGTTAGAAAAATGCGTGATTCCTAACTATGCTAAATGACTAATGCAACACATGCAAATGATGCAATTAATAGGCTTAGATACGAATATGGCATATGACTCAATTCAAGACATGCGGTCTAAGCACATATTCAACGAAGTATTGAAATAACAATGCAGTTAGAATAATGCACCGAGTCTCGGTGCATGCAATATAAGATGAATGGATGTAAGCATAAAGTATGCTAATTGAAATATGTCCCTAATTTAACTATCAAAAGCGCATAAATAAAAGGGAGAAAGACGTGGGGTTGGAAGACATACACATTATTACAATACGCTCTCATGAATGAGAGTCCGAATAAATAAGCTAACTAGCTAACTAAGCTAAGCTAATTAAGCTAATTATTACAAACTTGAACAAATAATTAACTAACTATCTAAGCTAATTAATTAAGAACTTAACTAGGCTAAACTAACTAAATATTACAAACCAAACCAATTTAACCAATTTAATTAATCTAAACTAATTAAATGAGTAAACTAATTAGTTATAACTAATTAAGCTAATTTAAATATTACAACACAAACTAATTAGCTACAACTAATTACAACTAGAAAAGGGGGTTTTAGCCACGGAACTTTTTGCGATGGTTTGAAAATCGTCGCAAAAAGTAAGTTTTTGCGACAGCAAAAAATATTGTCGCAAAAGGATTTTTTTTGCGACGCCAATTGACTGTTGCAAAAAGGGACCAAATAAATACCATTATTAGTGACGGAAAATTCAAAACAATGGCAAAAAGTAATATTATACGCGACGGTACATTGCCCGTCGTAAATTTCTTTTTTCGTCTTATGGTTTTTGTATTTTTTTGCGGCGTCGTTTTTTAGTCCATCACAAAAAGTTTTATTTTTGTGACGCCATTTGTTAGTCCGTCACAAAAGGTTTTATTTTTTTACATTACCCGCCATATATTTTTATGTAAAATGTGTATGTGCTTTTGTTTTTTTTCTTTTCTTTTCTTTTTTGGCTAGGCAAAAGAATTTTTTTTTTCCGGGTTCAACAAACTGATTTTTTTTGTTCAAGAAACTATTTTTTTTTTCCTCTTTCATTCTAATGTTTCCTGAAAAATAAACAAAACCTAAAGTATAATTTTATGATTCAACAAACTCACTATAACAAAAAAGACTTTTCTCGGCATTTTTTTTTTCAACGTTTCTGAAAAACTCTACAAAAACAAAATTATTCTTGACATTTTTCAACAAACTCCATAATTTATGATATTGTTTTAAAACACGATAACTAAATATTATTTTTTTTCGGTGTTTTAGTGTTAAGTTAGAGATATTTTTTATGCAGTCCAAAACTACGTTGTTTTGGCATAGACTTCAAGTAAAACCCTACCCATATTGTTCTCATTCCAAGATCCATCACCAAGCAGCAGTTTCTCTGCCTCACAGGTATGTCTCTATGGCTACTTTCTCTCTACCGCTCTATCTTCCTTTTTTTGGTTTATGTTTGTGAAGGCGCCCCGGGAGGGAGATTTCAGTGGCGGGGATGTGGCAGTGTTGTGGTGGGGAGGAGGATAGCGGATCTATGGTAGGGAAGGGAGAGGGGGTTTCGGTTTCGGTATTGGAGGGTGGGGTAGATGGATATGGGTCATTGGTACGGGAGGAGGAGGGGGAGGAGGGTAAGGGTGGTTTTTTTGGTAGAGACGTTAGCCGATGAAGAGGATTTCGGTAGTAGAGATAGCGGGGCTGTGATAGGGAAGGGTGTTTTTGGTTGCCAAGAGATGGCGGGGCTATGTTGGGGGAGGTGGAGGTGGTGATGGAGGGTATGGGTTGTTTTTTGTTTCAATTGATTTGTTGTTGTTACTCAACTATTACTGAAGATGGGATTTGGGTTTATTTAATTTTGGTTCAAGTTTTGTGCGGTTGTGGAATTTGGATTTGACTAACTACTTATCTATAATTGCTTAAGGGGGTTCTAGGGTTTTTAATTACATTTGTGGGCTTTGATGTTTCTCACTATGGTTTCCATGGATTCATTGCTTTACCCTTTGTTTTAATGCTTATGCTGTGTTTTTTTTTTTGGGGTATCTCGTTCATGGAAGAAAATTGGGGGCTTTGACTAGGGATCAGTTTCTAAAATTTAGGGCTTTACCTTTTTAAAATTCAGAACTTGTTTTCTGAATTTGTTTGGAAAAATTAGAATATAGTTTGGCAAAAATAAACGTCAAAAGTGATCTTTTTTAATTTTTGAAAGTTATTTCCTGAGAAAACTATATAAAAAGACTGAGTGTTTACATTTTTTTTTTCTTTCACCAAAACTAGTTTTTGAAAAAAAATGGGAAAACTAGATCCGAAAGCTCAACCAAACAGAGCAACATGTTTGGTTTTATTCTCATTTTTCATGTTTTTGGAAACAAACAATGAAAACTTCAAAAACATCCATTGTTGTTTAAAAAGTGAATTGCTCCGGTATGCTTTGATGTCTTATATTGCTCTCTCTTAGATCAGTTTTTGCATTTGCTTCAACTTAGAGGCACGAAGCATATTATTCTTAGTTTTTAGTTTTTTAATTTCTTGAATCAATTGCATTCGTCCTTGTTGTGTTTAGGCCGAGTAGAGTGAAAATTTAGGAATATCTAACTGTGAAAAGGAGTCCTTTGGGTGGGTTTCTTTCCATCACTGTGAGTTTCAGATTTTGGGCCTGGAGTTCTTGATTTCAAACTAAAATTGAACTGCATTCGGATTTGAGAGGAATTGAACTGACCATTGTGTGAATTTATTTTATTTAACTTTACAGATGCTTACAATCAAGTTTCATGATTTTATTATGATTGTTTCTCCCCTTTAATCTAATCTCTTAGAGTTCATTTGTACATATTTGACTTCCATGCACGATAGCAGTACAATCAACTTGTTCAACATTGTTTCATGATTTTACTTTTGTGTTAAGATTCTGCCTTATTTTATTACTTTTTCGATCTTGCTTTCTCTTTATCTGGTTCATTACAATTCAAGTTTTTTTCATGTTACATGTTGCTATTTTTTGGCAGTACAATGAAATTCTTGGCAAAGGAGCTTTTAAAGACACTGTGTGAACCTCATTTCCTCATATTGTTTTGAACTTTCATTGTGCGTAATATTTTCCTAATTTTATAAAAATAAAATAAAAAATTATTTTGGATTGTTCTTTGTGTAGTTTTAGAGCATTTGATGACTATGAAGGGATTGAATTACAGTGGAATTAGGTGAAAAGATCTATAGAGGTTGTTTTGTGAATTTCAATACCAGAAAACACAATTACATATGTTTGGTAGCTTTAGTTATTTAGTGCTTTTTATTGTGCTATTAAATATGCTGTCAATGAGGAACACAATAATCTAAATTCATTTATTTTTTCAATTTGTCCCTACCTGTCTTTCTCCTCTTGCTGTTTGTAGTTAAAAATATTCATGATGATGATTAAATTTTGGTTAGTTGGGGTTATAATTTTAGGTTTACACTACAAGAATCGTTCTTCAATAGTTGACAATTGGTGGTAGAGAACTCATGGCTTGAGAGAGGAGGCATTGCTTATAACACAGTTTTGTTAGATAACAGTCGGTAGTGGCCACAAGTGACAAGGTTCATTCTTAACGTTCTCTAATGTGATTTGTGCATTTTAATTTTTCTTTTTCTTCATATTTGTTGACACTATTAAACCAATTTGATAAGAATGGATTTAGATTTTAATTTTAAGATTGTTTTGTATTGAATTTGTTTTGGGTCGAAAAATGTAGGGTTCTTTGTTTGTTGGGCTTTTGTGAGTAGTTGGCATTTGGTTAAATTAGTGTTTAGTCGCTTTGTATTTAGTTTCCCACCAAAAACACCAATCTTAAAATGTCAGGTTACGAGCTATAATTTATGTCAAGATTGATTTGTTTAACCTTGGTTGTTTAGGTAATGGATTTAATTTTTGTGCTAGCTAAAGAAAGTGATAATGGCATTTCTACCAATCATTGCTTCAATCACTCAGTCGGTCATCTCCCTCCTATTCAAAAGGTACTTCAATTCTTACTTAGATTGCTACCTATGCATACCTAATAAGCACATGGTTTGATTACATTATTTTTATCATGTGCCCTAATGTAAATTTTGAAAAGAAAAAGTAGATTTTTGATTCTTTACCAAAATAGCAAATAAATTTACCCAAGTCTATCGACCCCCACACGTGCAGCTTGTGGGGTCTAACTAGTCAAGGTAAAATGAAGGCAAAAAGAGATATACATAGTCATACTTTGATTAGATAGTTTTTTTTCCAAATAGCACCTGCATCAAATAGTGAGTCATCTTCAACCTTACTAGGCTGCTACTTGTCACCCATCATGTTTAATGCAAGCCTTGATTTTCAATAGGCTCCTGAAGAACCTATTACATTAGAATCAGACATTAGCACTAGTAACCATTTTTTAACTATAAATGATTATTATTTTTTTTTCTTTTTGCAGATGCAACCCTTTTGAGTACTGTAGACACCCCATTTTTGACCGTCCTCAAGACTTGGACGTCACCATTTGAACACTCGGTGATTATCCAGGTTTGTGTTCGTTTGGAGTTCCCGGAGGCCTCGGCTCGCGCGCCTTGCTTCAGGATCTCCGAACTTGACCGTTTAGTGTCTGGTTTTGCACCAAACACTTGCATCTTGCCTTGGAGAGGCAAGGTGGGGCTTGTAGACCATCCCCACCCATCACCGGCAGTGGCTACATGCCACCGGCTGGTTTTTGCTGCCACCGGCAATATAGTTTGCCGGCCGGCACTCTTTGTTGCCGGTCAGCACTATTTTGTGCCGGTCGGCACTTTGTTTGGCCAAGATGGCAATCCATAGTCTTAAGGTAAGACCAAAAATCGTTGCTTGTGTGTTCATCGGTTATGCAAATAATAGTAGTAGTGCATACAGATTCTTAGTTCATAAATCTGAAAATCTTGATATGCATGTGGATACTATCATTGAGTCAAGGAATAAATTGTTCTTCGAACACATTTTTCCTTACAAGAAAACTGAAGAGTTTAAAATTCTTAAAGCTGAAAAGACGAGTTCAAATAAAAGAACTCTTGACACTGCTATAGAGCAATTAAGACCAAAATGATATTGAAGAAGATGAACCTAGACGTAGCAAGAGGGCTAGAACATCTAAATCATCTGGTCTAAATTTTCTGACATACCTATTAGAAAATGAGCCTCAAAACTTCAAGGAAGTAATGTCAGGTCTTGAAGCTCCGTTATGGAAAAAGGTTAATGAAATTGAATCCATTTTGCAGAATCATACTTGGAAAATGGTGAATCTTCTACCAGGTTGTAAACATCTTGGATATAAGTGGATATTCAAGAGAAAGCTAAAAATAGATTGTTAAATAGACAAATACAAGGCAAGGCTTGTTGTTAAAGGATACAGGAAGAATAAAGCCCTTAATTATTTTGACACATATTCACTAATGACAAGAATAACATTCATTCGCATACTAATAGCAATTGTAATAGTGTATAATTTAGAGATACATCAAATGGATGTTATAACAGCCTTTTTGAATAGTAAGTTAAATGAGAAAATCTATATTGAACAACCAGAAGGTTTTAAAGTTCCAAGCCAAGAGAAAAAGGTTTGTAAACTTGTCAAATCCCTTTATGGATTAAAACAAGCTCCAAAACAATGGCATGAAAAGTTTGATTCTGCTATGATTTTGGATGGTTTTAAGATAAACGAATGTAACAAAAAGTGTGTCTATGTCAAAAATACAGATAAAGGTTATGTCATAGTTTGTTTTTATGTGGATGACATGTTTATTATTGGAAGCAATAATGACATGATTAAATCCATGAAGAAAATGTTAAACAAGAGATTTGACATGAACGACTTGGAAGTAGTAGATATAATTCTAGGAATGAAAATCACTACAACATCTGAAGGATATGTTTTATCTCAGTCTCACTATGTTAAGAAGATTCTGGAGAAGTTTAGGAAGCATGACGAACGTCCTGCAAAAACACCTGTTGACATTTGTGTACATTTGTCAAAGAGTACAAGTGTAGGCATATCATAATTAAGTACTCTCGGATAATTAGAATCTTGATGTATTTAATGAATTGCACTAGGCTAGATATAGCCTATGCTGTGAGCAAGTTGAGTAAGTACACAAGTAATCCAGGGACAGATCACTAGAAAACAACAATTATGGTACTTAGGTATCTAAGGCATACCCAGAATTATGGCTTACATTATATCAGATATCGGATACTAAAGACTAAAAATCCATAAGCAGACATTTATAGCAAAGTCGACAATGGAATTTGAGTTTATCACGTTAGATAAAATAGGGGAAGAAGCAAAGTGGCTTCATAATTTCATAGAAGACATTCCAATGTGGCCTAAACCTGTGCCAGATATTTGCATTCACTGTGAGAGTGAAGCAGCAATAAGATGGGCACAGACTCATGTCTATAACGGTAAATCTCGACACATCCATTGAAGACACAATACCGTTTAACATTTTCTCTCATATGGAATAATTTCCATAGAGTATGTAAGGCCAAGAGAGAACAATGTGGATCCATTGACCAAAGGGCTAGCTAGAGAGCAAGTGTACCATTTATCGAGAGAAATGGAATTAAAGCCTATTACTTAAAAGTCGCCATAATGGCAACCCAACCTAACTGACTGCAGATCCCAAGATTTAGGTTCAAAAGGACAACCAAATTATGGATGACTTTACGTATCACTAAAGAGATTTACTCCTATCCATTTTTATAATAAGAAGAGTGATATCTGCAACATTAGTAGGATAAGTTTTGTTGTTAATGATTTTTATACCTTGGGCATCCAAATGGAGTATGGCGAGATACTCTTAATTAGAGGTCACCTAAATGAGTGTGAACTAGGTCGGTTTTGTGAGAATTAAAAAAGCTAAATCCTTAGTATATCAAATAAAGTTCATAAATAAATAACATAATGAAAAATGTTAATATAAGATATAAAACACAAATTGTGTAAAATAAGTTATGGTAACTCAAAATATACATAAAATATATGATGGTGACTCAAGGTATAATATAACACACCTTAAAATTGATACCTTACTCTTTCTTTCCATTATCAAAGACTTTCTTGACTTCTAGTATTTTCTTTCCCTTTCGTTGTTTATGTTTTCCTTTCTTTCCCTTTCTTTTTCCCATCCCGAGCAACTCCCTCCTCCTTTATATAGAAAGAGGACCGTGGGCACCAAGCCACACGGCTGCCCACGTGTCTCATTCCCATTGATATGCCATTAATTCAAGCTTATCTCAATTGCTTACCTTTAGGTTCAATTCTATTTTGGTCCAAATCTTAAACTAATTATATATCCTTTTTTCTTCTGATAATATATAATCTCTAATTTAATTACACTTTATCTCATACGCCCATAACATTCAATATTTTATTTTACTCTTACAAAATATTTAAGATTTTTCTTAACAACTTAAATTTTAGGGTTGTTACACTATGTGCCCGGGTAGTGAGTCGGGTTGGGTTTGAGTTGGGTAATGTAATTGGTACCCGCACAGGAAGTCAAGGTGCCCAATTGCCCTATCTACACATACGGCCAGACGAATGTGAGAAAATGTTTTTAGGTGTCCACGAGCCCGCCGTTTCTAGAGGCGGCAAATGTGGAAAAACATGATTTTTGGGTGTCCACGTCCCCGCTATTTATGGAGCCAGCAAATATGGAAGGGTATATGTTTTTGGGTACCCATCACGCCCACCGTTTCTAGAGTCGGCAAATGTGGGACTATTTTCAGTATGTAAATTTATATCTATGTATGTATGCTTTGAATTTCAGCTTTTACTTGGGACATCATAGTATGTTTACCACCTGAGGATATTGTGAAGAGATGGAACAATTTCATGCATTGCATATTTTCACTCACATACAAAGACACTTATATGCTACTTCATTTATGTATTTCAAATGGTGCATTGCATGATCATGGGTTATTTAATTGGCTATATAACTTGTTAAATTCATCACCTACTGAGCTTATGCCTACTCCAAAGTTAACAAATTTCAGGAAATGAAGATGAAGTGTCTACCAATGGATGATTTTGATATCAAGAAACCTTTTGGAACTAGGATACAATTCTTTTGAAACCCTACTGGTCTTGGGTTTTGAAACTGTTTTGCAATTGTATATTTGTGTTGGAGTTGTTGTACTATGGGACACATTTTGAAAGGAAGCAGACCTGGGATTTAGTTGTTATAGATGTTTTTCACTCTTTGAGTTGTTTGTTGTGTTATGTATGTATGAAGATGACATTGTAAATTTTTGGAAAATAGTTCAAAAGGAAAGAAATGTAAAGAATGCTATAATCTTAATATTATGTATGTTTTTATGTTGTATGTGTTATGTAATGGCAATGCCTAGGAGAACAAGATCTAGGATGGTTCTTTTTAGGGTGTTACATTTACAAATTTTTCCTTGCATCAAATAAAGTGTATGAGTCTTCTTACACTTATCCACCACCAAAGAACCCTTTGTGAGCTTCCATTTTCCATCACCAAATTTGTTGTTGCAGCCTTCATCCATCTAGCTTCTCGGTAGAGATCAAATTGAGGTGAATGTTGGGAAGCCTCACTGTGGACTCACCTTTTTCTGCGTCCCGCCTTTCGGAAAGGGTTTGAAACGAAGGCATCACAGTTCGGACTTTCGCGATTCTGAATCTAGTCTCACAAGTGCAATATGAAATTGATAATCACCAAAGAGTCCAAATCCGGAAACCTTTTTGGAAAATCAATTTTAAATTAAATAATGTCAAAATTAGACTGCTTTGCCAGATACAGAGTCGCCACCTAAATATTTTATTTTGAAAAAATTTAGGAAACCCTGACTCGTGCCAAAGGCCATGTGTCCGTCATCACCAAACTTGCCTCAGCTCGGGAACTTAGGTATGAGAGGGGAAGGTCCTGAAATGAGCACCCCCATTCGCCCAATCAAAGATCGGTCTCTACTAATCATGATATGTTATTTTATAAACATTATGTGTTCTTGTTCTAATTATTAAACTAGCTTTACTATGTGATGAGCACAAGCAAGTATAGACTAGTTTGCAAGACTTGGAACAACTCAACTCATGTTTGTTTGTAAAAATGGTTTGAATTTGCCACCCTCAGGTGGGCTTAAAGATGTGGATTTTCCACCAAACATAGTGGGCTGAAAACATGATTTGCCATTCAACAGAGTGGGCTTGAAATTTACATTTGTTGAATCGTTCCAATTCAAACAACAAGCCTTTATCCACAAGTATTCAAGCAGTTTACCATTTATGCACATAGTCTCATGGAAAGCATGCTAATCATGGTAATATAGCAATCACACTCATGCTAGTATGCTAAAGCATAAAAGCTCAACGAGTACTCCAAGACAAA